GAGACGGTCTGTAAGAGACGGTCTGTAAGAGACGGTCTGTAAGAGACAATTCAGACTAAATCTTAATCTAATTGTATTCAAGAGTGAAAACGTTAAATTGAAATTTTCTGCGGGTTCGAAGAAACAGAAGGAAATATTAACTAATTTTAACTAAATTTAACAAGATGTTCATTTATTGGCGGGGGCCACGCCCCCTCCCCCAATCCTAGCCCCCTCTGCACGCGCGCGCGCACGCGAGTCTCCCTCAGACTGACAAACGTGAGGAAGTCGCTGGAAGATGAGGAGCTGCGGTTTGTCCTCGTTTTACTGTCCACATGAAAACTTTCCGTGCGGTGCAGGAAGCTGAAGATCCGTGCGTGCGTGCGTGCGGTGCAGGAAGCTGAAGATTAATTTGTGAGCAGGTAATAAAGGAGAGCAGGGGGACAAGAGAGGAGGTCCGGGAGAAGCGGCGGAGCGATGACGCAGAGTCCAGTCCTCCTCACATGCTCTTTGGATCTGTAGCATGGTGTCTCCTCGCGTGGTGTCTCCTCGCGTGGCGTGTCCTCGCGTGGCGTGTCCTCCTGGACTCTGGACATCTCAGCTCGTCTTCCTTCAGCTTCTTCTCGCACTAAGCGCCTTCTCCTCCGCCGACATCTGCCTCCATCACCCGGCGCAATGCTCCGTCCTCTCGCAGATGCCACGCACGGTGCGCGTCGGTGCGATCTTACCGAGCCGGCAGCCGGCGCGGATCCAACACGCGCTCAGCCGGGCCCTGGCGAGCATCCGTCACCAGAGCGCAGGGGCGGACTCTTCAACCTTCAACCTGACCCTGGAGGTGGTGACGCGGTCGCCCGCGGGATGGGACCCGGAGTCGTTGTTCCACAGCACCTGCCACGACCTGCTGATCAGGGGGGTCTCCGCCGTGCTCGCCTTTCCACGCTCCAGAGAGGAGCTCATCCAGCTGGAGTTCCTGTCTTCTGTCCTGGAGATCCCTTTCATCTCCATCTTGGAGGACACGGAGCCTCTTGTGACTAAGGTACTGAGGGCGTGTGCGCGTGTGTGAGTGCTGCGGCACCTGTGGCAGTCTGGTTTTAAAGACCAAGGTTCCTATAGTGTGCACACTTTGTACATGACAATCAGCCGATTGTGCAGTCATCTGTCTTGGAGGCAGGGCGCTCTGCTAACCACAGCTCTAACCACTCAGTTAACTGGTTAGAGCTGAGGTCCTCCAATGGGAGAGCTGGGAGATCGATTCCAGCAGCAGACACGAGTTGAAGTGTCTCTGGGCAACACACTGAACCTCTCACTGCCTCTGACGCGTGTCCATCAGTGTCTGGATGTGATCAACATCTGATTAGTCTCTTCACAATGACTTGTTCAGCTTAGAGGTGTGCGCGTGTGTGTGTGCGCGTGTGTGTGTGTGTGCGTGTGTGAAGGTAAATGAGGACATGGATTGTGTTGTAAAGCACTTTGAGTATCTTGATTAGATACAGTTCACTTCAGTTTATTGTGTGGTGTCAAGTCACAAGAGAAGTTGTCTCAGTGCCCTGAACAGAAACATTCACAGTAAAGCCAGTTAGTAAAAGTTCTCTAAGGATGGAAACCAGCATGCTGTCTTTCTACAATCTAACTGCCCAGTAGAAAGGTGCTATATAAGTACAATCCATTTACCATAACGACTTCATGTGTTGTGTTCACTGCATGCATTCATTCATATTTCAGAACGTTCAGCTTGATCAGAAATAGTGTGCTACGTCTTTAGGTTCATCCAACTTGTATACTTTTCAAAATATGTCATTTACAGGTTCTGTTGACAGGGCGGGGCGTCCCGCTTGTACAAAAAGATTTTTTTATTTAGTTTTCTGGCAACATTTTCTTTTCTATTCTAAGATTTCAGTTTTTTTTTTTTTTTTTTTGGTATAAAGTTTATTCATTTAAAAAAAAAAAAAATTACATAAACTATATAAAAACTACAAGAGATTTAAAATGAAAGGCAGCAGAAAGAAGAACAAATCTTATTATATCTGCCCCTTTTTTCAAACAATTAGTTCACTCATAATAATTTTCAAGTAACAGAACAAAATGAATAACTTTCTAATTTTTCTAATTCTAATACAAAACACACACTAATCTACTTCATATATACTTTTTTAACAATCCAGTTTTGATCTTTTTCTTAAATGTACACATTGACTTGTCATTTTTCACATCACTCTCTAGAACATTCCACAATCCAACTCCTTGGATTGAGGTAGACCTTCCCTTCAGACTAGTTCTGAATGTTGGTTTGACAAACATCTCTATCCCCTTAAGATTATAACAACTTTGTCTTTTAACAACATTTCTTTGGATATTTAATGGTAATGTGTTATTTTGAGCTCTATACATAACTGATAAAATACTATAATCTACCAAATCATGGAACTTCAATAAGTTCAGTTGATAAAATAATGTGCTTGATGGGTGACTGTAATGCTTTCTGGTGATGATTCTTACAGCTCTTTTCTGTAAAATAAAAATAGGTTTTGTAAATGTTTTACATGCTTTCCCCCAAACATCAATGCAATAGATTAAATGTGGAACAATGATTGTGTTATACAACATGTACAGAGCTTTATCATTTAATAATTCCCTGACTTTGTATAGTACTGCAATACATTTAGATATTTTTGTTCTTACAGAATTGATGTGATTTTTCCATGTTAGCTGTTCATCAATGATTACACCCAAAAATTTCATCTCATTAACTCTACAAATCTCAACACCCTCAATTTTAAATGGATCATCAACAGTTCTCTTTTTGTTACTAAATATCATGTATTTAGTTTTATCTAAATTTAATGATAATTTATTAAGTTTAAACCAAGTTTGTATTTTATCAAATTCTGTCTTCATCAATTCCAACATCCGTTTTACATCTTTACCCAAACAGAAAAATGTGGTGTCATCTGCAAAAAGGACACATTTGAGGAGTCCTGATACATTCACTAAGTCATTCACATATAAAATAAATAACTTTGGTCCAAGTACAGAGCCTTGAGGAACTCCACAAGTGATATTGCACAGGTCAGATCTTACACCATTTATTTGTACAAACTGTTTTCTATCTTTTAAATAGCTAGATACCCAGTGTAATGCTGGTCCTCTTATACCATATTTATTTAATTTTTCAACGAGAATAGTGTGGTCAATAGTATCGAATGCTTTTTTTAAATCAACAAAAATACTAACACAATACTGTTTTTGATCGACAGCAGTAGTTATTTGTTCTATTATTTCCATGAGAGCCATTGATGTAGAGTTTTTTGCTCTAAACCCATACTGACTGCTACTTAGAATGTTGTTTTTTTTTGTTGCTAATTTTCTTTTCTGTTTTGCTTGTTTTCATTTCAAGAACTCAGTTATTCTTAAAAATGTCAGGGAACTCACTCAGCACTCAGCATTAACTGCCGTTTCTCAGAAAATGCCATTTCTTACTCTAACTCAGAAGACCAGTTTCACTGATCCTGTTGCTTGGGGCAGGAAATTTCACTTAGTGTTTCCCATCAGCCAGACGCTGAAGCTGGCAGCATGCAAACTACGCTAATAGTTTGGGGAAAGTAATTCTATGAAGATAATGAGGGCAATTATCCCTGAGTCTAATCTAAAGAATGAATAAAATAGTCTGGAAGAGAAACACTGAAATAAGTAATTGGAGCAGTAGATAATGTCTCAGACTTCTAAAGGTCTCATTCCAGCAAATGGTCTCAGATGAGCTTGAGCTGAGAAATGTTGGTGCACACCTACATGTTTAATATGTAATAGGTTCAAAGTAGAACACTCAAGGCAAATAAGTTTTTTAAATGTTCTCTTTAAATTATCATGTGGTGTCAGCACAGTGCGCAGTTGGTAGAGCTGCCACCTCTCAGTGAGAAAGTCTCCTGATGGAATCCTGGCTGGGGTGCCATTCTCGGTGGACTTTGTATATGCTCTCTCCGTGCATGCATCCTCCAGGTACTCCAGTTTCCTCTCACAAATCAAAAACATGCATGTTAGGCTGACTGGTAACTCTAAATTGTGAGTGAGTGTGAGAGTGAGTGTGAGAGTGAGTGTGAGAGTGAGTGTGAGAGTGAGTGAGCGAGCGAGCGAGAGAGTGACCGACCGACAGACCGACAGACAGACAGACAGACAGAGAGAGAGAGACAGACAGACAGACAGACAGACAGACAGACAGACAGACAGACAGACAGACAGACAGACAGAGAGAGAGAGAGAGAGAGAGAGAGAGAGAGAGAGAGAGAGAGAGAGAGAGAGAGAGAGAGAGAGAGAGAGAGAG